ATATATAATTAAAAATAAATATATATTTTATATATATAATAAATATATAACAATAAATATAATGCACTTCAATCATCTTGAAACCATTCCCCACCCTCAGTTCATAGAAAAAATTTATTCCATGAACCAGGTCCCTGGTACTAAAAAGATTGGAGACCGCTACTCCCAAAGGCTCCACCTCCAAATGCTATCAACATAGTAGAGGCTGGGAAGGGTAGGACAGAGAGGGGATAAGGAGAGGTTTGTTAAAGCACACAAAATGACAGCTGGACAAGAGGAATAAGTTCTAGTGGTCTTAGCACTGTGGAATGACTATGGCTACTAATACATTATATAGTTCCAAATAGCTAGGATACTGAATGTTCCCGGTACAAAGAAATGATACATGTTTGAGATGATGGATATGCTAATTACTCTGATCTGATCACTGTATACCATAAGTATCACAACATCACTATGCACCCAGAAACATGTTTAAGTATTACGTGCCAATTAAAAAATTTTTAAGAAAATTAGGAAATAGTTCACACTTACAAGAATATAGGTGCAATATGTATTTACACACAGCTATAAATAACATATATAATCATACACACATATGGTCTAAAGAATAATAAAGTAGGGCAGTGCCTGTGGCTCAAAGGAGTAGAGCGCTGGTCCCATATCTTGGAGGTGGCAGGTTCAAACCCGGCCACCCAGTTAACAACTGCAAAAAAAAAAAAAATTATAAAGTAAACATCTGTGTAGCTATCCCCCAGCTTAAGGAACATTACCTTTGAAGGCCTTTGAGTCCCTCCCTGATCACATCCTCTTCCCCTGCAACCCCTTCCAAAAATAACTACCTATTTTATTTTGGTGTGAGTGTAATCCCCTGGCTTTCCATAATAGTTTTGTCCAAATATGTGAGCGTATGTTCCTAAACCACATTGCTTAGCTTTTAGCTTTTGACTATACAATGTCATATTTTATGTTTGTCCCTAATTTCCTTTATATTATCCCCCATTGTATTTCTGAGATGCATCTAAATTATTCCCTCTGGGTATACTTCATTTTTTTCCTGCTGTACAATATTCCATAATTTGTACAATGTATATATCCAAAAAAACATGAATAAATGCTGTCAACATATGAATTTGGGAAGATTATGTTTCCAACATATCAAAACGGAGGTACACACTCAAACCATATCAGAGGGTCAAGTGAGTTAATAAACATTGAGTGCTCTGGCCTCCAGAATCTGGTGCATAATAAGTTATACCCATATGAAAAATAATGTTAACAGTGGCTGAATAATTTCCAGACCGGCGGCCTTACTTACTCATTAATAGGGTTACTTATTACCTTCCTCCTGTTGGAAATGCCTGAGGCAGGAGTGTGTGAGACCACCCTTAAATGAAGAAGGGAGCTGAGGACAGAGCTCTAGGAGCCCCTGACCTCAGGCCTGAGGTGTAGAGGGACAGTGAGGGGGACAGTAAGCAGGAGAGTGCTATTTGGAGATCTCATCAAACAAGAGATGAGTTGGGGAGAGCTCTATATGTAGACGGCTGGTTTTTGAGCTTGTCTACGTGCTAAGGGGAAGAGAGGGAGGATTTCTTTCCACTGGAGGGTCTGGGTGGGACAAGACCCGGGCAGGGCGGGGTGCAGGCAGGAGGAGGGCAGACAGCCTACTCTGGTCCATCTTCTCTCTAGGATGTGTTTTCTTGGGGGTCAGAATGAGGATGGTGCATTTGGGAAACACAGAGACCGGCAGGGCCTGTGTCAGGAAGGGAGGGTCCTGTGGGAAATTTGAATCAAAACTTCCGTGGGAACCCAGAGCTCTCCAGGACCAGGAGCAGCTGACTCTTTCGGACAAAACCACTGAGCAAGTAAAGAAAGCCAGATCTCATGACAGGATGGGAGGGGTCCCTAGGAAACCAGGGCCACTGCGGCTAAGGAGCCTGGAGCCCGAGGCCACCTGCCCCTGGGTCTTCTCAGTGTCCAGGACCAACAGCTCGGTTCGGATCGGTCAGACCAGCCTGAACCCAGGTCAAGGGAGCGGGCTCTGAAGCGGGATGCGCGGGGGGGATTGGCGAGCTAGGCGCGGTGGGTCTCAGCTGCCACGCTGCGGGGACCTTGCGGTTACAAAGCCGGCGGGGGAGCGGCCGGGGCGGTGCGGGGGTCCGGGGAGAAGAATGGGGACGACCGACCAATCCGAGAGCAGGATTCTCAGCCGCTAGAGAAGAAAGCCAGTAGGATCCCAGGAGCGCCGGCGTGAGCGAGCACGGAGCCAATCAGCTGTGAGGACGAGGGTGGGGCACAGCCGCGCGGAGTTTCAAATCCGCCCGGGTCAGCTAAGAGCATCTGTGAGCAGCTTCTGGTCAGCCTCTGGGGGCGCCGGGTGAGTGCGGGCGGGAACGTGGTGGGGCTTCTGTTCAGAGGGGAGAGGGCTGGTTAGGAACAGGTACAACAAGCGGGGTCGTGTAGGTATTGCAAGCGCCCGATCGGAAATCGGGGCGTCAGGTCCGGAGACGAGGGTTGGACAGGGACGTGTTTGCTCTGGACCAGCTTGTGAAGGAGCCGTGGACAGTGCACTGGGTGGGGCTGGGGGCCCTGCGATGCAGGTTCTCACTCTGCCTCCCTCCTCTCCTGAGGCAGAGAGATAGCGGATTGGGACACTTGGGGCTCACCATGACCCCTCTTGCAGGAACCGTGCTTCTTCCAACACCCCAGTTGCCAATCCTGCCCCCCCACCTCCCACCTCCTTGTTCACTCCATCCCTCTTCTCTTGTGCCTGGGGTCTCTGTAGCCTGGGGATGGGGATAGGGAATGCCTTGCTGACTGCTTTTTGACCTCCTCCCCAGGGTCTACAGTGGGCAGAGAAGACTCTTGGCCAGGCAGATGGCTTCTCGGTGGCAGGGCATGCGGTCCTCTGTGCGCAGGAGATCTCTCCGGAACCAGGAGCAGCTGGAAGACAGCAAGGCGCTTCAGTCTGTGGTCAGCCATCAAGAAACTTCTACCCTGGGCTCCCTGTGCAGACAGTTCCAAAGGAGGCTGCCCCTGAGAGCTGTCAGCCTCAACCTCGGGGCAGGTCCCTCCTGGAAGCGCCTCGAAACCCCAGAGTCAGGACAGCAAGACGTCCAGGGTGCTGCTCGGTCAGCTAAGAGTGCTTTGGGTGCCATGTCCCAGGTAATAGCCGTCTATTTACGGAAGATTTCCTTGGCACAGGACAGTTCCTACCCTCAAACCAACCCTATCCCCCAAAATATAGAATCCATGGCACAGGGGCTTTGGCTATTTTGTTGCCCTTTTCCAGCACTCCAAATAGTTCCCCAGCACATAGTAGGCACTGAACAAATAGTGGAATGAGTCATGAAAGCGTGGAGGAAATGGATGCTGAGGATAAAAGGTGGTAGGGGTATGGTGATAGGAAATTGCAAGCAAGTGGTTACCAGTGGGGGTCCACCAAACACAAGCTTAGTTGGCAGCACAGGGGTGTATAAGGCAGGTGAAGTAAGGTGACTCCACGCCTAGAGCTGAGGGAAAGAAAGATGCTGAGAGAGCTGGCAGGGGTTTAGTCTGGATATGGCCCGGGGACAGTGAGCTGGAACAGGGAGGAAGGCCAGAAAGGTGCTGGAGGTGCTTAGACACTCCAGGAATGCCTGGGAGTGGGAGGAATCCTAAACAGAGAGGGAAGTCTGATCAGGTGAGCATATTAGGGTTCTTCAGCTACTGGATAGGAAAGGGATTAGAAGCAGAGATGCCTCTGAGGGAGCCAGGGGCCTGGACTCACAGGGGTATAAATTTCAAGAGCTGCTCAGGAGGTAGGTTTGAGACAATGTGGTGTCAGGTGAGACATGCCAGCAGGAAGATGTCATTCTGTGGGATGTGAGGTGCCCCTGGGCCCTCCAAGGGGTTGGTCTTTAAACCTGGAATTGGGGTTATAGAGTTGTCACCTAGAAAGGACAGAAGCCATAAGAGTGAATACACCTCCAAGGAGAGAATTAGGAGGGGAAGGACAGGTGGAGGCAGGCAGGGAATCTCCTTAGTGTCTTACTGGGAATTCTGAGGATGGGGGGTGGGGTAGCTGTTCCTGACCCTTTGTAGAGAGGTCTCTGAGCCAGGTGTTAGTCCTCATTTGCAAGCACCTTTTGTTTGTTTTCATCACCCTCAGGAATCAGAGAAATGAAATGAAGCATCTTGTCGAAGGTCACATAACTCATCAAATTTAACTGAGGCCTTGCTCCAACCCCTGGCAAAACAGTCTAGCCAACGAAGAAGAGGCTTCATAGCTGTTACCAGTGTGAAAGGCCCAGGAGTCAGGGCTTGGTCCTTCAGGCATGATCAGAACTATAGAAAGCTCTCTAAGGACCAATGTGGAGGATGGATAGTGTGAGTGAGGCCAGAGGCAGGAAGACAAATGCTCGCCTGATATGGCGGAAGTAGGGGCTGTTCTTCTCTGGCCTTTTCCTTGAGTGTCTGAGTCGATCTATGCCCAGAAAGAAGGTTTGGTCTTAGATAGATGGAGGCTCTATGAGCCAGAGTGGTCCTCCTGCCACTGACCACTGCAGCCAAATGTTGAGGGTGACTCTGAGCCCAGTCTCGGCTATGAACCCATTCCACATGGAGTTGTTTCTATTCTTTGCTCTTGAGACTAAGAACAGCCTTTATTTGTGGCATAGCTAATGGGTCTAGGGGTTGGAAGTACAGCCTGGAGACGGGGATAACACGTCTTGGCTTTGTCTGCACTAACCTTTCCATGTACCTATCACAGAGAATCCAGGAGTCCTGCCAGAGTGGCACCAAGTGGCTGGTAGAAACCCATGTGAAAGCCAGGAAGGGGAAGAGAGGGGCCCAGAAGGATAATAGCCTGCCAGCTCACAGCCTGACCCAGAAGAGCACCCGGCTGTCTAGAGCCACCCCTGTCCACTCAACCACAGATTCCTGGGAGAGAGGGCATCACTACCGGTCTATCCAGATGGGCCTGCGTACCCCCCAACTACGGCGGTCAAGGAGGGAGGCTGCCTTCCAGAGCCCCTATTCCTCAACAGAGCCCCTCTGCTCTCCCAGGCAAGTGGGACAGTGCCTTTCCCCGGGGCTGGTAGCCTTCTAGCCCAGGCACAATTCCCTTTCTCTGGCTCTCCAAAACACTAACTGATCCCCAGGGACTTTTGAGCACCCCCTGTAGCTACCTGGAGCTAAGGCACCCTGAGCTGAGTCACATCCATGTTCTGAACCAGCTCTGCCCCCAGAACTAGTAGGCAGTCTAAAAAAATCCTTCAGAGCCTTGGTTTCCCTATCTGGAAAAGGAAGAAGTGAGCTTAGCTGTGACTATACATTCACTCAAGCCTCCTGGTGAGCCCAAAAGCAAGTTTTGAAGCCATCTAGGTGGCTGGGCCTCAGGTTCCAAGTGAGGAACAGCAGGGATCACCTGTCTGCAAAATCACTTGGCCTGAGTCAAAGGCAGAGAGACCCTGACCTTGCCATTCTTGCCAGGTGCTCCAGTTCACTCTGATATCGCTTCCTGAAGTTAGGGCCTGGAGTGACGCATTTCCAGCCCACCAGGGTCTTCTGGACCCACAGACACAGCCCCAGAGCTGGGTTGGGAGGAGTTCCTGCCAGGGGTTTCCAACTGGTCACTGGCAGGGCTTTTCCTTTTGTTCAGTGAGCCTGATGGTGACCTAGAGCCTGTGGGGGCAGGAATTCAGCATCTCCAGAAGCTGTCCCAAGAGCTAGACAAAGCCATTATGGCTGAAGACAGGTGAGCTGATGTTCCCTGCTTCAAAGTGACACGGCCAGGAGGGCTCCCTGGAGGCATGCCATCTCTGTGGGCAGCTGCTGGTTCTGGCTCTGACCTGCTATGTGACCCTGTCCAGTCCCCACCCCCCTCTGACCCTTTCTCTCTCATCTCAAATGTGAGATGGGATGAAAGACCTTGATTGAGGTAATGATAGAGAATGCTCCCCAGATATATTTGGCCCTCCAGGCCTTGGGCCCCCACATTTATCCATCACCAGAGCCTCACATGTGCCCAGGTACCTGGTTCCTGAAAAACCTGCCCTACCCCCAATCCTCTCCATGTCTCCCCTATGCCCTGCCTGCCCAAGGAGCTGGGAACAGTAGCACAGCTGCTATGGAGTTCCTAGTCTATCTGCTCCCACCCTATCCTGGGGCCTGGGCCTTAGTTATGGATCTGCTCACACTAGGAGGTATTTCCACATTTGTATAATGGCCATTATGGTTCTTAGGCAGGGCCCTGCCAGCTCTGACTGTGCCGAGTGGTCATGTTCCCACCACATTTCCAGGTCTGCTCCCTCCTGGTCCATACAGGGAGGGCCCCCTCACAGCCTGCATCCCTCAATGGCATCAATCTCTCTCCCTTTTGTCTAGCAGTGATATGACCGTCTTTCTCATTCATGACTAAGGACAGTGCCCTGCAGGTAACATCCTTTCCTCTTCTTCCCCCTCTTCCTCCCCCTCTTCCATTCTTTCTTTCCTTCCCTCCTCCCCCTCATGCATGAGCACCTGTGCATAAGTGAAAGCATATTGAAGAAATGAGTCTTTCCCAGAGGAACCCACAGAGTCGATGGACACAGCAGAGTAGAAAGTATACACATCTTCCTAACTGTTTGGAGCCAGTGCTGCTAACTTCACTGAGCCTGTCACTAACTGAGCATGCTGGGGACCCCTTCCAATGCTCCATTTAGTGGGGCAAGCTATGGTATCTCTATCTCCCCTACCTTTCTGCAGTGAGGGGGGGTACCCAGGGAGCTGTAACAGGAGGCAAGCCCTGTCTGACTGCGGCCCCCCCGGATGTCTGTGCTGCCCTGTGAGCTGCCCAGAGGATGCCCCCAGGAGTCTTCAGTACCCCTCAGCCACCGCTAATAGGGACATCACTAACCAGGGGCCTAAAGCTTTCCTGCTTCAGCCACATCCGGACCCATCAGTGACTGCCTGTTACAACCTGAGAGTGACTTGGGGAGATCTTGAAGAGAGGGGGGAATTGTACCTTCTCCTCCCCCAGGGCTCAGAAATTCATCCCACACTTCATTCTACCTGTGGTTGCTTCATCTGCCGTATCAGACCCAGGAGCACAAAGGCGTTTGAGAGCTCTGAACCATGTTCCTAGCAGCAGGGTCTTTGGGGAGCCCCCCATTGCCTCACTCACCCTGTGTCTCCAGGGCTGAGGCTCTTGGGCACCTGCCTCCCATCTCTGCTTCCCCTACCAGGGCCTGGTAGAAGTTGTAGGAGACAGTTCCAGGCTTAAGACCCTGGGCTCCCCCCGTACCTATTTATATGCTCAGCACAGGACAAGGGTGTGCTGGGGGGAGCAGCAGATTATTCAAGAGCAATTTCTGCCCTTTGTAAATTATTTAAGAAATCTGCTTTGTCATTTTATTAGAAAGAAACCAGCATGTGACTTTCCTGGATAACATTGCTTTTCATAATAAAAACTCTTTCTTCATTGAACATCTGTTCTCTTTCACTGTTAGCCCCCGCCCCCATGCCCAACAGGTGCTGGCTTAGAGCCATTTGCTCCCCACGCCCCCCTCCACCCCCAGCCAGCCTGCCCCCACCCCAGCTCTGGGAGAACATGAGTAAAGGGAGAGATTTCTCAACTTAGTTCAGAGCAAAGCACATTTTAAAGGCAAATAAGGTTTTTATTTAAGTGACAACATTTGAGAGTTAAAAACCAGCTCACATCAAAATCAATACCAGTTGTAAAAATCTTTTAACTCCATAATGCTGTTTTTGTCTTGTTAGAAATCAGATATTTTACATTTTCTAACGGATTTTGTACAAGGCAGCCATAAGGAATATAATAAATCTTTTTCACCACAGAACCATCCATCACAGATAATACTCAAAGTTATACACTTAGGAACAGTCAGACCACAGACAAGGTCAGACTGGCTGCCACCACCAAGTAAACACATAGAAAAGGACAGCGGGGTCCGAAGGTGGGGGGCAAGGGGTCCTTATACACGAGCCACCCTCCTCTGGCCTGCCCCTTCTTGACGTCATCTGCCTCTCCTTTGTCCCAAAGAGGGTGGAGTCAAACTCTGATTTTCCTCCCTGTTCATTTCCCAACAAGGAGCAGAGCCCAGGCCAGGCTTTAGTGCTTGGGCGTAACCCTATGGGTGATTTTTTAAGAAAGTCCCCCAAGCCCAGAAGGAAAGGAAGGAGGGAATGTTTCTTTTGGCTGAGCCAAAGAGAATAGGTTTCCAGCACTTGGCACCCAAAGCCCCAGGATTTGGTGGGAAAGTTGGTTGTTTAAGGCGGGGTCAGCTTTGAGGTTCCTCAGAGTCAGAGCAGCCCTCCGGGATGGGGCTGCACCCAACTGGGTAGGAGAGTGTCTATGCAAAACCATCGCCACCTCTGGACCCATTTCCACCAGCCTCACTCAGGGTCCAGCTTTCATTAAAGAGTGATGCGGTATTTTGTCTAAAGGATGCCCCAGGGCACAAGTATGCACTCCAAAATGGTAAAAATACAGTTTAAAAACCATGAGATCCAGCCTTCTCTCTTCCAGAGATCCCACTAGCAAGCAATCTCTGGAATACTGAGGTTCAAACATGATTGCTGGAGCCCAGCACCCAGAGAGATGGGCCATTCACCTAAATGCATAAAAGGAGTATTTTTGTTGTTGTTGTTGTTGTTAATATTTTGTAGAGTCTAAGGGAGGAGTTTAGATCTTTAGGAAAAAATCCATCAGGCTGGAAGAGCAGGCTAAAAATGACCCTGAACCCCCAACAGGGCAAGTGGCAGAGGAAGGTGGCAGGCAGGCCCTTGGCCCAGACAGCCACAAGATTGAGAACAAACATGCCACACAAGAAACAAGGAGCTTTGGTCAGGCAGGAAGATCTGTTTCCCAGCTGTTGGAAAGCAGGCATACCAAGAGCTAGAAGAATTCTCTAGAAAACAGCTGGATTGGGGGTCACAGAACTACTCAAGAAGAGGCAGCAGCACTCCTTCCAGAGAACGTTACTTGGTTCTTTTTTTTTTTTCTTTCCAACTTAACTGGACAGACAAAATTGAACAAACCACTAGTACAGAAAGTGCATGTGGATTACACAGTTGCCGTGAAAGAAATACTGAAACAGAGCTTGTCTCGTCACTAAACAGAACCACATATACACACGCTCACACACACCAACTACGGCTCCAAGGGGGTTGTGTTCACACTATCTCATTGTACACCATTAGCATCTCACTTGTGTTGTCAAAGCCCCAATCTAGGGCTCCAAAAAGGAAGGGGTGGTGGCCTTCCTGCTGGATCCTTTGTCATACCTCTGACCCCCAGAGCCACAGAACCCTGGTCACTCTGACTCCAAATTCCCTGGGATTCCCGGCTCACGGCTCCCTCTTTCTCTTGCTCCTAGCCTAGGGTTCTCAGAAAGGGAAGAGGCAATGTCTCTCACACTAATTTTTTTTTTTAATCATTTGTGAGTAATGTCATCAGTGCCTTCTGCATAAACAAGACGGTAGAATGTCAGAAAATCAAACTAAGTCTGCCCAAGTTTAAATCAGGGTATTTGGGGACAGGTGGGAAGGACTGGGGTTGAGGTGGCTATGCCATGTGAGCTGGTGCCTATGGAGACCCAAGAATGATGAAATGTTAAAGGGGGAGGGGCACTGTGAACCACCAGAAGGCAGGACCAAAGGGGAAGCTGAGGCTAATGTGCAGCCCTCCCCAACAGCCACACTGGCAGTGCTGGGCTTGGATGCAGGATACAGTGCTGACAGGCGCAGAAGAGCTGGCAGGCTGCAGACACATTTCTAGATGAGAGAGCAGGGTGGAGGACTGGGAGCTGACAGCCCAGACCCCTGCAGCCCCAGGAGGGTGCCCAGTTAGTCAGGCGATTCACAATGGAGGTGCCAGCCGCCCCCACCAGCAGCTACTATCATCTGCTTGGGAGCTGCGAGAGGTAGACATTGAGCAGAAGCGACACCAGACTGACACAGGTGCCTGCTGTGCACATGGACATCTGGGCCCAGGGGCAGCCTGGCTGAAAGAGCTGGGACTGGCCTCAGAGGAGCCCACAAGAACTGAGCTGGAACCCAGCAGGGCTGCCCCACACAGCGGCATGGCCCAGGGCCAAGAAGCAGGAGGGCCTGGGCAGGCTTTGAGGCGACCCAGGAGAGCCACACCCTGCCAACCTCAGGGGACCACCCAGGAGGAAGTTACAGGCTCAAACTGAGTGGCAGAAGGAAGGGAAGAGAACACAACAGTTGGAGCCAAAGTTCCATGAACCCCCAGAACCCTAGAATCTCAGCTTTATGCCTTCCAGGAGCCAAAAGGGAGAAATCAGTCTGAGTAAAGGTGGGAGGGAGAGAGGGAAACCAGCTCAGTACCCTTTGTTGGGGTGTGAGGTCTATCTCTGGGACTTCTAATTTGGACTTCAGTGCAAGAAAAACCTGTAGCATGGGTGGTGCCTGTGGCTCAAAGGAGCACAGGCCCCATATACCAGAAGTGGTGGGTTCAAACCCCACCCGGCCAAAAACTGCAAAAAAAAAAAAGAAAGAAAGAAAGAAAGAAAGAAAACCTGCAGCAGCTCTCCATGGAGAAGGGCCCCCTTCCCAGCTCCTCCCAGAGGGCTTTCCTTCCGGGCAGTGGGACAGGAGTTCCTCCCTCCCAGCCCCACCAGCCCCTCTCTCAGGCTGTGTAGAAGGTGTGGATCACCGGACACTCTGAGGGGCGCTTAGACCTGAAAAGCCTCAGGGGGCAGTAATGCAGGACAACCCAGGAGTCAAAAACTTGCACCAGTCTCAGGTAGGGGGAGCCCTCCAATTACAGAAGGAAGGCAGGGCCCAGAGAGGGCAAGCAACAGGCTCCAGGGCTCACAGCCAGCCCAGCTGGACCAGGGCCCAAGGCTACAACCTCACAGAGGGCACGAGGCAGGGCTTCCAGAAGAAGAACACCTGTCCTCAGGGCCACAGGAAAATGGGGAGAGTATTGAGAACAAGAAGGGGCACAATGGACACACCGTCAGCACCAGGCCCCGACCCAGGGCTGTGGACAGAGTCAGCACACACGAGGACAAGTCCAGGGGACCTCCTCTCACTCCCAGAAAGTGGCCAGTTTGGCGTAAGAAAGCCAACTCCAAAATGGTGACCCAGGATGTCACAGGGAGGGCTAGCACAAATGCCACTCACCCCTCCGCAAGGCAGCCACGAAGCTGTACCCGCCAGCAGCAGCTGGTCCTGGGGCTAGGGCAGCCAGCACTCAGTAGGGCCTGCCGAGCATCGCTGGGAAGCCTTGGGACCCAGAAAGATGGTGACTTTGCCCAAACACTTCCGCTCTGGGCATTCTTGCCCCCAGGATTACACATACATTTAACCCTGACCTGGGCTTGCGGTCACAGGCATGGGGGAGGCAGCCGCAGCCGCACTGTGATCCCCGGACCTCACCCCGTGGTAGCTCAGGGAGCCACCCGAGGCCGAGTAGGGTCCCTCCCTGCTCTGGTCGGACACTGCTGGACAGACACGGGAGGGAAAAAGCAGGTAAACGCCTGTGTTGTTGGGAAGAGGGCAGCCCCCTCCGGTCCCCGCAGGCAGCCCCCCGCAGGCAGCCTAGTTGGGCCCCCCTGCTGAGTACAACCCGCTCCTCAGGGCACCGACTCGAACTTTGGGGGCCCACGCGCCCAGCTGAGCACGGGCAGCGGCCGCTCGTGGTCCTTGTCGGACTCGGGCTGGCTCTGGGCCCGCTCGGGCTTGGGGTTGGCGACGGGCGGGTCTGGCTGCTGCACCGACATGGTCCTGCGGAGGTGGTTGCGCTTCCTCAGAAACTCGGGCTGCGCGTGCAGCCCGAAGCTGCCCTTGCGCAGGATCATGCGCGAGTTGTTCTTCTTGGGGCGCGAGCGGTGGCTGGCCTGCAGCGCCGCCAGGTGCGCGGCGTAGCCCTCGCTCAGGAACTGCGGAGAGGACAGGCGTCAGGCAGCGGTCCCGTCCCCACAACATCACCGCTTCCCAGGAACACCAGGGCGCCTCCGGCTTCTCTGAGGAACCCTCGGGAAGCACGGAGCTCCTTGCCATTCCAGGGTCCCCATTCCGCTGTGCACCTCTCTGTACCCGTGGGCGGGTCGCTCCAGAGTTCCGCGGATTCTGGAAGTGCCCATCCTTGTCACTCTAACTACATCCCCGAACGCAAGTCCCTCCCATCATCCAGCCTCTACCCACATAACTGTTACTTGTTTGACCCCGTAGCTTCCCTTCCTGCCAGCTTCTGTGTCCCCAGCAGCAGCAGCACCACCTTGGACCCCTGTTAGGCTGACTCTCAGGCCCCACCCCAGGCCCGATGAGTCGGAATCTGTGGCTCAACAAGATCTCCAGGGGATGTGGCTGCGCTGGAATTTGGGAAGCAAGGCTCTTGAGTTCCCCACTCTGAGGTGCCACCATCTTCCCGCCCTCCCCTGCTGGTCATCCTGAGCCCCCACCCCGCATTCCCAAAGGGAAGTCATCTCCTTCCCTTCCACCTGCTCCTCCCCCAACGTGCTTCTCAATCCCAACAATGGCACCTGGTCACCTAAGCCAGAAACCAAGGTAGGGGTCCTCAGCTTTTCCTTTTTCCTCCCACATATTTGTTCAGCATGGTACCAAATCCAACCCATACCCTGCCTCAGAAATCCCTCAGACCCTCCACTTTCTCTCCAATGTTCTCCCTGCTTCCTTTCCACTCCTTTGACCCACCTGCCATCTGCAGCCTGAAGGTTCTTTCTGAATCCAGCACTCTGAGGACAGAGTCCCAAATGAGGAAGGCCCACAGCCCACCTTGGATGCACTTACCAGCCCAGCTCCCTTCTCCCCTCCATGCTCATATCACAGGCAGCCACAGCTGAGTCACTGGCAATTCCCCAGATATAATGTTCTCTGTCACCTCCTGCCCTTAGCTACTGTCTCTGCCACAAATGCTTCTCCCAATCTTAGGCCCTTCCTGGGCTATTCCTTTAAATTCCTGAAAGCCAAACTAGCCCTGAAGTCAGGGAGGACCCTGCTCCCTGTAGTAAACCCAGGTACCCACCACACTATCCTGGCATGGACTGCAGATGTTTCCATCTCCCCCTGTAGACAGAATGACACCGTATCTGACTCCACTGAGGACTCTTGTCCTGCACTCTATATAGGCTGTGGCCCAAGGCAAGTGCCCCATAGTCTTTGTTGAATGAATGAATAAGTAAATGTAGGAATGAACAAATGAATGAACTGCCTACTCTACACACACCCCCACTTTCTCTGACAACCCCTCATCCCTGGCCCAGCCTCCACCTACCTGGCACTGGGTTTGGTACTTCTTGGTGGGCCGGCCCACAATGAAGATCTGGGAGGCGGGCAGACCCAGCACACTATAGACAGAGATGTCCTTCGTGGAGCCATAAGCAGCACTGATTCTGATGAAACACTGAAACATAGGGCAGCTCATGAAGGCAGGAGAGGCCCTCCATTGTGGTTTTAAAATTTCTCCCCCTTTGAAATCACCATGATGGCAACCATGCCATGATTGTTCCCAGACAACCATAAGAAAATGGAAGAAACAATTTGAGAAATACCCAAATATTTAGTAAAAGACAAGCCCTTGACCTTGAATATTCCTCCCCTCAGTAATAAGACTACCAAAGACCTAAAAACTCTCTTGCTTATCTTCCAGCAGACCTCCCCTGGAAGGCTTCCTAGACCAAAGGGACCCCCTGTTTGGGGACTTTTTATCTACACTCTGTTAGTCTGAAAGCCATGGGTCCACCCTGTGTCAAAAACAAACCACTGTCTGCCTGTTCCCTGTCCCTCCCTGCACACTAGGCCTGATACAGGGACAGGGCTCTGCCCAGCAGTCATTACCACACAATGTACTGACCTGACCTCGGACACTGGTTAAGTAATAACAAGGCAAAGCAATCCTCTGTATATAAGGAAATTGAGTTGCAGGTTTACACATCATAGGGCCAGGACTAGAGGCCTCTGACCCTGTCCTATCCACACCACACCAGATTGTGGCTTGCCATTTCCCTGCTGCCTCTTACTGGCTGGTCTGAGGTCACACCCAGAAGCCCCCAACCAGTTCCACAACCTGCCTGAGATCCTCCTTGCTCCAGGGGTACTCCCAGATCATCATCCTGACCTCCTGTCCCACCCTACTGGATGAAACTACCACCTCCTTTAGGGTGCTTGCTCCCCTAAGCTGTCCCTCACAGAGTATTCCCCTTCCATGTGCCATCTGCTTTAGTCCTGGATCACAGTTCCATTCCTCCTATGGCCCACCATTACTGGGATACTCACTGTCCTTCTGGATCACCTGCCACCGAACCCCGCAGTCTGAAGGCCTCTCACCTTCTTTTACATCAGTGGCCATCACTTCTAGGTCTGAGCCCAGAACCTCACTCTGAACTCCAAACTTGCACTTTCTCACTCTGACCAGCGCTTCTGCCCCCCACATCTCTGCCAGCCCCCAATGTGGCTGCTGTCAGCCTCACTGACACCTGCATTTTCTGCACCCACTCTCCTGCCTCATCCTGCCTGGAACCCTGTGGCATCCCTATGTCCTCTGTCTCCACCTTGGATACTCTTACCTCCTGGTATACATGCCTGGCCAGACCTCAGCCCTGGAATTTTTCAACTGTCCACCTTCTGATACACTGCTACCAAGAACGGCTAGAGAAACTCCTCAAACTGCACAACTCTCATCCTATGTATTCTTTTTGTCTCTCTGAGCCCATACTCTGCCCTCAGGTGACTTGCCTTTGATATTGAACCAAATAGAAGGTTTTCTCAGGAACTGGTTAATTCCCAGCTACCCTGTGGCTCAGAGGAAGGCACAGGCCCCTTTTGTCCCATGTCCTCTCTCCTCATTCTCCGGAACTCCTGTAACTTTGCTCCCACCTGTAACTTTACTTTCACCAGTTCCAGTGACTCTGCCTCTCACTCCTATGCCCCTCTAAGCAGAGACCCACCTTCTCTGCTCCTTACTCTGCTTCTGCCTGCTCATCCCTCTGAGGTGTCCCTTTTTCAACAAGGTCATTTAGTGGGTAGTTCTTGCCAAACCACAATGTCTTCACCTGAAAAGCGCTGTCTCCTTGAAGCCCTCTCCTCCTCCACACCTGCAGCATCTCTCTCCTGGGCCCCTCCCCCTCAAATCCTCCTCCTGCTTCCTCAGTTGGCTCCTCTTCCTGCTCTCAGGACCCAGCACCACGTCCTCGTACTCTTGCCTTTGCCCAGGAGATGCCTCCCCTCCATGACTCCAATGATCTGCCTCATACTTCCAGCTTCCAGCCTCCACCTGCAGCCCAGACCTCTCCTGAGCCATATCACATCCCACAGCCAAAACAGTCTCAATGTGTCCACAACTGGGCCCATCCCCTTCCAACCTGGTCCTCCCCTCTCATTTCATTCATTCATTCATTCATTCATTCCACTAACATTCATTGTGGGCCTACTGTGTGGCATCCTTGACCCAAATCCAGGAGATATGTTGGTGAGCAGAACAGACACAAACTGCCTTCATGGAGACCACAGTCAAGTAAGTAGCCCTTGGCTCCCTCCTAGTCACCTATCCTGGACATCTGAGAGCATCTCACTCCCTATCCAACCACCACTGAGGCCTAACAGTTCCACCTCCCGATTCTGGGCCTGTCCGTGCCTTTCTCTCCATCCCATGGGCATCACCTGGATTCTGGTTTTCCTGTCTTTCACTTAGGCCACAGCTGCCTAATTTGCCTCCCTGCCTCTCATTTCTCCTGCCAATCTGCTCTCCATATAGTTTCCAGAACAATCTTTCTACAACTCAAACTAGACACTGCCACCCCCCTGCTTTAAACTCTTTCATAGTTCTCCTTTGCCCTCAGCAGAGAGTTCACAGTCTTGGCCTAGTTTCCAAGGCTTCCAAGGCCTGTAAAGCTTGGGCCCCTGACAACCTCTGAAGGCTCAGCTCCCACTTGTCCTGACCCTGCCTGCACAGACCCGCTTCCTGGATGCCTGCAGCTCTGAGAGCATCCCATTTCCTGCCTCTGTGTCTTTGCACATGGCTATGCATTGTCTACCTAACAAACTCATAGTCATGCTTCCAGATTCAATGGAAAAATTGTCACCTCCGAGCCGCCTTCCCTAGCCTCCCCAGCGAAACTCAGGTCCTCTCTCCTCTGTTTGCCAATAGGGCCTTTTTCAACCACACACCAGTAATTGTCGGTTTACATGTCCTCCTCCTTCTAGATCAGGGATTGGCAGGCTTTCTCCTTGAAAAGCCAGATAGTAAATATTTTAGGCTTTGCACTCTGTCACAATTATTCCATTGTAACGCAAAAACAACCACAGACAACACAAACAAATGAGCTTGGCTGTGTTCCAATAAAACTATTTATGGACACTGAAATTTGAGTTTCATATTATTTTCACATGTCACAAAATATTATTCTTCTTTTGATTTTTTTCCCTCCCAACTACCTGAAAATATAAAACCTATTCTTAACTCATGGGTCATATAAAAACAGGCCGTGGGCTGGATTTAGCCGTAGTTTGTCAACCCCTGTTTTAGATCAGCAATTCTCAAAAATTTTCTGCGCATCAGAATCCCCTGGAGGGCTCAGCCTCCCTCTCCAGACAGTCAGATTGAGTGGGTCTAAGGTGGAGCCAGAGAATCTGCACATCTAAGGAGCTCCCAGGTGCTGGTGCCAGACCCACCGTGAGAACCACAGCCCCAACACCACCCGGCACAGTGTAAGCAACAGGCGAGGCACTTAAATGTCTGTTGAATGAATAACCAGATAGAGATGACAAGAGTCAGGGGATAAAGCATGGAAGTCTGATTCACATCTTGGACAAGTTACAGGAGCCTCACCTTCTGTCAGTGCCCATCGTACCTGCCTTTACCAGGCTGTTAAAAGGACCCACTGAGATCCCTGGGAATGGACTTTGCAAACGGTGCCTTGGAAGGGAGGAGGGGAAAGCTGAGTAGGAGGAAGGTCACGGTCTCACCGCCCCGGTCCAAGACAGGGGCGGAAGCCCTGCCCCGGCCCCACCCCCGCACTCACCTCCTGCATGAGGTTGCGGAGGAAGATGGCCTTCTGCCGCAGCGGGTCGTGTACCAGCCCATCCGAGAAGAAGATCATGCCCTGTGGGAAGTTGTGCTGGGACAGCCACGACACCACCCGCTGCTTCTGCATGTCTGGCCGCCCCGTGATGTATAGGATCATGTAGCCCAGGTCCTGCCAGTGCCTGGCGAGACGGCATGGAAGGGTCCACCCCTGCCCCGGTGCAGGCCGCCCACTGCCAGGAAGCCTGCCCCGCCCACAGCTGCCCTCTTGAGAAGTCAGAGGGGCTGTTCTGAGGAACTCCCGGGAGAACAAGGGCGACTCAAAGTGCACACTCTCGGCTGAGCTCCGCGGTTGTGGACATCCCGCAACCGTAACCAAACTCCACTTCCCACTCTGGCCCTCTGCACACGTCCTCCTCAGAGCCTTGGGTTCCCCTCTACCCTGTGCCTCCTCTCCCTCCTCCAGCCAAGGAGCTGTTCACTTTCACGGGGCCAGGCTCTTTCCTCCAGCCTTCTCATTTTAACCGCAGGCACTTCTCATTCTTAGTGCAGGCCCCATCTCCCTCCCAGACCACTGCAAAGCCTCGGGGGTGCCCCATTTTCCTCCACCTCTGGCCCCTATCTAATCCGGGCCATGCAACCTTGGGCAGGTTACTTAAAACCCCTCATCCCTGCAGGATTTCAATTTCCCCATCTGCAAAATAAGGATAATAATAGTATCTCTGAAGGATGAAAGGAATTAATCCCAAACATGCCTGGCCTGGTACACTGATACAATTGGCTTTATGATTATTCCCAGTACTGTTTCCATGGTGAATTCTGTAAATCACAAATCTAACCCCAGTACTCCTTTGCCTAAAGGCATTTCCGGCTCCCCAGTGCACTTGGGCATAGTCTCCATGCCTCTGTCTGTACCTGTGGCTGTGATCCCTGCTCTGCCCTTGCTGGTGGGACCTTCCCCGACACATGGAGCCCTCCTGGCTCCATTTGCTTATATTCACATCCCCCATCTTTCAAGGCCTCCTTCTCCAGGAAGTCTCCCCTGCTTCCCAAGCAGAATCAGCCTCTTTTCTCTGTGCTCTCACAGCACAGTGCAACAGCACTGCTCCACTAACCGCACACTGAATGTTGCAAGATGTCACATGAGCCCAGATCTCTCAGGGGGCCTCTGTGGTACTAGCACCAGCACATAGACTGGGGAGTTCTAAACCTGGATGATGATCTGAGAGATATGGGAAGCTTCTGTAAAAACACACGGGAGCAGGCCTCACCCCCAGGGATTCTGGTGCATTCTGAGGGGGCCCCAGGATCTGTGTTGATGCAAAACAGTTTCTGGTGAGTAGTAAAGCAGCCCCAGAACCCCATAGGAGGAGGTGAGAACACCATGAGTCCCCAGAGAGGAAGGCCCACAGCCTCCCCTTCCCTGCCAGGGACTTGGGAGGGGGTTGTTGTAATGGGAACAAAGTTTCCAGGCCTACAAGGGAGAGTCTGGTCCCTGAGATGTGCTTGAGCCTATCCAGGCCTGTTCCCATACAGCTGCTGGGCATTTTAAGGGCATGAATCTCCCAGGAGCATGAGAGCCAGGCCAGTCTTGTCTCCTCAAAGCCATCATGGGTACTGGGGTGAGACAGGGCAGTCCCCAGCCCCAGCCCCAACCCCAAGAGCACCCAGTATCTGGTATATGATCACTTGGAGGCCTGGATTCCAGTTTCTCATGCCCGTGACTTGTTTTCCACACTGGACTCTGAGTTCCTCTGACTGAGAGCCCTTCTGTATCGGTGGCCAGCACAAAGCCTGGCCCACAGTGGGCCTCATAAAAGCATGGCTGCATGGGTGGATGGAGACAGGGAGAAAGGAGGGAAAGAAGGAACAAAAGAGCTGAGGGATTTTCCCAAGAATGCTCAGTGAATTACTACTGGAGGTAAAGCTCAGCTCCCGGCCCCAGAGAGCAATAGAATTCCTAGAGGAAAATAGAAAGACAGCACATTTCCCCCAGGTCTGCTGGCTTCTGCCCCAAGGGAGACATATCCCTCATGGGCAGTAGCACTCACCGGACAACATCCACTGCACCTGGCCGGACCTTGGGGTCGCTCCCCATGATAGATACGCTGGCCGCAAAGGACCCATCGATGCTGAACACGACGCACTCCATGCCCCGGGGCAGCACTGTGAGGTAGCTCATGGCATAGGTCTGGTCACCCCTGAAAGAAACCCACCTATGGTCAGCTGTGCAGAGAGGATCAGGCATTGGCCTAAGGCCAGAGGTCCACCTGGAGATGGAGTTTGAACTCAGTCTGCAGCCAAGGTCAGAGAGAACCTGGGTGACATCAAGAGACTTTCCCCATTCTCCTCTGTCCCTAAAGACAAAGATGGGGCCCAAAGAAAGTCTGAGCATCCCATCTTCTGAACAAGCCTGGCTGGAAGAGTAGTGGAAATGGGGGAAACCTCCATGAGAATGTTCCCCTGAGTCTTACCTGACAACCATTTTCACGGGGTAGACGCCGACCCCCAAGCGCCGGGGTCGTGGCACATTATATGTGATTCGACCACTACTATTGGTGATCTCTGTGTCCAAATGTACCCAGCGGCCAGAGGACGGCTCTGCCATCACCAGGATGTCCACCTATGGGCACAGAAGGGAGTGAGGGGACTCCTTGAAGCAGTGGTTCTCAACCTTCCTAATGCTGAGATGTATTTTCATTGTTACAAAGGGGTCCAACCCACAGGTTGAGAACCGCTTCAGGGCCTGAAGGCTGAGGGGCTTCTGGCTTGGCAGAGGGGCTGGGCTGGGAAGCTCTGACCTTCCCTGGGCCCTCCACCCTCCACCCTCACTCCCTTTCTCCACTCAGCACCCAGACTTCTCATCCCCTCTCAGAAGGGGTCCTGTCCAGGCTCATCCTGTCCTCATGCTCATTCTCCAGGCCTGCCCGGCCAGGGCGCATGGCTCCCCGCACTGTGCTCCCACACCAGGGAGCCCGTCCCTCCTAGAACCCTCACCCGACACAACACATGGTGTCATGAGGCACCAAATAGACCAGCTGAGGAGGGGGTGGCCATCCCTGGGTACCTTCTCTCCAGTCAGGGCCACCATGTCGAGAGGACCGTACATGAACCGCCCCACCAGGACCTGGGGGCCGTCTTCAGCAGCAATCACATCATTGGCCCTGTGATTAGCAGTGACATTCTAGAAAGACAGACAGAAGCAGGCTCAGATTTGCTTTATCATTAAGGTGTTCTTAGGATTGGCTGGAGGAATTTGGGCCTACTGAATCACATCTTCCTATTATAAGGTGACCAGATGTCCCACTTCTGGCAGGACAGTCCCAATTTTTAACAATTTGTCTTGTGTCCTGTAGCATTTTTTAAAAAGTCCCAATTTCTGGGCTCGGCGCCTGTGGCTCAAGTGGCTAAGGTGCCAGCCACATACACCTAAGGTGGCGGGTTCAAATCCCCAGCCCAGGCCCGCCAAACAACAATGATGGCTGCAACCAAAAAATAGCCAGGCGTTGTGGCGGGCGCCTGTAGTCCCAGCTACTTGGGAGGCTGAGGCAGGAGACTCACTTGAGCCCAGGAGTTGGAGGTTGCTGTGAGCTGTAATGCCACGGCACTCTACCCAGGGGGACAGCTTGAGGCTCTGTCTCAAAAAAAAAAAAAAAAGTCCCGATTTTTGGAAAGAATGCACAAGCTAGGGAACAGGAAGAGAATATATGGTTTTCGGGAAGAGAATATACAGTTCGGTTTTCTGATGCTGAAAAGGTTAATGTAACTCCATTTGGGAATGAAGAGGTTAATGTAACTTCATTTGGAAATGAAAAGGCTAATGTAAACTCCCTACTCCCCTCCTGGGCAAGGTCACCCAGGTGGACCAGCCCCTACTCCTTTGAGCCACAGGCACCGCCCTATACATAATTTTTTTTAAATATTATATTTGTAAATTGTACTTATGTTGAAATTAAAAATAGATATTACAATACTATTTTTGTGTTCTATGAAAATTTTTGTTGCTCCATATAGACCAAATTTTTAATTAAGAACCCCCCACCCACACACCCCCACCCCACCCCATCCCACCCCTGTCAATGGTGTCCCGCTTTACCAATGTTAAAATCTGGTCACCTTATCCTATTAACATCTGCTGTCTGCTGTAGTTTCAGAGATGTGTTCCCATGGAACCCACGAGAAAGACAGACCAAGAGCCCCCCAGTGTCATTTTCAGGGTATGGCTGGGCTTCCTGCAGACATGCAGCCTCTGCTTTGACTCTCCCATGTGGCCCCGAGCTGACAGCCAGCCTCACAGCCTGTCCTCCTCTTCTAGATTCCAGGCTGGAATCTGCCTGGTCACTTGCAGTTCTTTCTTCTATACCACGGCTCACATCCAACAGCCACTTAACCATCTGTCTTTTTCTTAGATGAAAAAATTCATATTTCAGGAGTAGAGAGAATGGCGCGCCAATGCCTCATGAGCCCGACACCAGCTCCACCACTTAGCAACCAACCAGGGCTATTATTTTGCAGCAATTCTAGACACTGCATCATTTTATCTGTAACTATCTCAACATTCCTATTGTTCCTCACTTCTGGTTTCAGTTCATTCTACAGCACCACGGCCTGTATTGGCTCTGATCACTTTCCACTCCCACCCTTGCCTTTGAGACCTGAGTCGCTCAATCTGGTGACCCTTCCGTTATTCTGATGGCCACATTTTTATCTCTCACACAATCACATTACCCATCACTGGGACTCTGCTAATTAGCTTCCTCATGGAGTTCCTTTCTGAGAAATAGTCCCTGGCACATAGGTCCTCCACCTTGTAAAGCATAGACCTGTTGATAGCCCTCCAGGCGCCCCATCACCCTCTGGGTAAATGGTAATTCTGAGCAAGTTCTTCATTCTTGTCCCCTTTTGCTCCCCATCCACACCTTCTGGTTCTTTCCTCCAGGCTCTGCAGCAGCAAGCTCTAGGCCTTTGGGGGAACCATCCCTGGCCCTCTGCCCCCACAATCCGGCCATCCACTGTGACCAAACTCAACGTCATCCCCTCCAAGGAGCACTCCTTGGACACCAATTCCCACACATTTTAATTCCATTTAAAAAACATTTTCAGACACCTTATCTGCCTCAGCCCCTGAAAGGAACAAGTGATAGGCCCTACCCTGGAGACATTCAGGCAAGTGGCAGACATAAGTTCCCTTACAGAAGCACTGGAGAGAGGAGAGACAGTTATGTAAATAAGCACCTGAAAAGATGCTCAACATCACCAGTCATCAGGGAAATGCAAACCAAAACCATGATGAGAGACCCCATTATACCCACTAGGATGGCTCAAATCAAGGAGACAGATAATAACACATGTTGTGGAAGATGTGGAGACATCAGAACCTTCATATGCTGCTGGTGGGAATGGAAAATGGTACCACTGCCATGGGAAACAGTCTGGCAAATTCCCCACAGGATTAAACAGAGAGTTACTATTTGATCCAGCAATGCAATGGAACGTGACACAGCCATGAAAAGGAATGAAAGTCTGATCCAAGCTACAGCATAGATGAACCTTGAAAACACTAAGCCAAATGAAGGAAGGCAGGAATAAAAAGTCACATCTCCTATGATTTCGGTGAAATCAAATGTTCTGAATAGGCAAATCTGCATAGACAGAAAGTAGGTTACTGATCACTTAGGGCAGTGGGGAAATGAGGGAGGGAGAGGACAGCTAAAGAGAATGGAATTTCTTTTTCAAGATGACAAAAATATTCTAAATTGGCCATGGTGATGTTTGCATACATCTGGGAATATACTAAAATCCACTGAATTGGGGGCGGAGCCAAGATGGCGAACTGCAGCCAGCTTTTTACAGAAGCTCCCGTCCAGAAGGAGGCTGAAAGGACAGAACCTTAGCAAAGTAGCTGATGGTTTGGAGCAGAGACAAGAGAGAAGATTGAAGAGTGCACTTCAAC